GCTATTTTATTTATTAATTTATTTAAAGGAAGAATATTGTTTTTGTTTTGTAAAAGCGTCATTGACTTTTGAGCCATTTCAAGTGCTAAGAACTGATGCTCTTTGCTATTAAGAACCGATGCGGGAATTTGAGCCCACGGCACTATGGCATCATCATCCATTTCACCCAAATCAAAACGACCAACTAATACGCGAAGCAGACTCTTATCAATATCGGCTTCTTTTATGAGATCTTTAGCAACAGCTGCCGGCAGTTCTTTAAAGGGATATTTCTCCCAGACACATTCGACATCTGTTCCTGCAAGGACAGCTTTTGATGCAGCATGTACCGCATCTGATGAAACTTTGTGAGTCGTATAAAAATCAGTTACAGCGCCGCAATCTGAAACGACCAGGTATTTAAATCCCCACTCATCTCTTAAAATACGCTGCAATAATCTGGTGTTGCTGCAGCATGGTTCGTCGTCCAGGCGTTGATACGCGCACATCACCTGACGCACATCTGCATCCTGCACAAGTGCTTTAAATGCCGGCAGGTAAGTTTCGTACAATTCACGAGGATCTACATTATTCAAATTCAATTCGTGCCTGCTCCATTCTGGTCCTGAGTGAACAGCAAAATGTTTGGCACAGGCTAAAAGTTTACGGTACTTGGCATCTGCCGGGCCCTGTAGCCCTTTGACAACTGAAATTCCCATCCGGGAAGTAAGATAAGGGTCTTCTCCGTAGGTTTCCTGTCCACGGCCCCAACGGGGATCCCTGAAAATATTGACATTAGGAGTCCAAACCGAAAGGCTTAAAAAACGTTTGTTTTCATTACCGTTTTTAATCCATTGATTATATTTTGCCCGAGCTTCATCTGATACGGCATCAAAAACACGATACAGTAACTGATCATCAAACGAAGCTGCCATACCTATGGGCTCTGGAAAAACAGTAACATTGTCATTATTGGCATAACCATGCAGCGCTTCACTCCACCAGTTAAATTTTTTAATTCCAAGTCTGGGGATCGCATCACTTTGATCACACATTAAGACTGCTTTTTCTTCAAGAGTTAATCGTGAAATTAAATCTTTTGCTCGCTCTGCTGAACTAAGCGAGGGATTCTTATAAGGATATTGCTGCGCGTTTACACTAAAAAAAGATAGTAAACTTATAATAAACAAATAACTAATTTTCATGATTATTCTATTTGAGTTAATATATTAATGCGTATTTTACTTTGGTTAAATCGTAAAGGAATTAATTCAAGTTGCTAGTTAAGAAAGTCTAGTCCCTACAGGACAAAAATTGACCTGAATATTGATTTCTAACAATATGTAATCTCTCCGAGATATTTTTTGTTACTCCGTTAAGAGTTAAATATTGGTAGAAGAATAATGAAATCTACCTCAAAAAATATCCCATAGGGATTAAACTTTTTTAGAGCCAACTTATTTACTGAATTGTTAATCTGGCAACTTGAACTAATTATTTTTTGAAATTTGATCTTCAATATGGAAATAATCGAAATCTACATAACCGCCAATATTTGTAGTTGCATAGTTGAACAACCCAAATCGATATCCCATAAAATGAGGAATTGTATAAGGCAGTTTTATTGCGTTTCCAATGCTGATCCATTTTTCACCATCTAGACTGTAAAAAAATCTTCCGGTATCTGCTTTATCTTTAAAATCACATGCTGCTTTGAAATAGATTTTATCCTGAACTAAAGAAATGCTTTCAACTTCACGCGGATTGCCTTTAACGGCATCAAGTATGACTATTTTTTTTGTACCATTTTCAACCTTTACCGCTATAAATCCATATTCTTTTTGCAATAACGAAAGTCCTGCAAAGTCGCCTTCTTTCATTTTAGATACCTCCACTAAGGTAGATGCGGAACATTCAGATCCAAAAGTTCTTTGTGTAAGGGTATTTTTAGCCTGCACAAAACTGCTGTCTTTCCGGCCTGTTTTCAATCTTAAATATCCTTTTCTTTCCCTAACAGACCACAGGGAGTTATCAGGATTGTGGTTCCATTGCCAGACCAAAGGCAAATCAGGATCATTTTTTTTTCTTGTAAAATCATCTGAGTTTACAATTCCCGGAATTAAACCTTTGCTTTGTGGTAAATCCAGATATTCTGGTACTTTATTATTTTTACCTAAAATGGGCCAGCCCTCCTTCCATTCCACAGGAACCAGATAAGGAATACGGCCTACACCTCCGGAATCTTTAAACAAATACGAAAACCATTTTCCGTCTGGTGTATCAATAAGCCCGCCTTGTGCAACTCCTAAATCCTGCAGACCTACTTTTCCTTCCCAAGGTCCTAAAATACTATCTGCCCTATGTATAATTACCGTTCGCATTGCGTCTTTTGGCCAGACGATATTAAA